CAGGGGCTGTGGGGAGCGGGGAGAGCAGCAGGGGGTGGGTCACGAGCTGTGGGGCGGCGGCAGGTGGGGCACATTGAAATCGTGGCCGGGACAGGCTAGTGAAGAGCAGTTTTCTCTTTGCGCACCACTTCCTTCTGCCCGGAATGTCACTTGTTGCTCCAGTTCACCTCTCCAGTGTTGGGGGCACTAGTGTTTGGGGCTAGATGCTGTTTGTAGCACGCATCCCCCGCTGATAAAGTTGTGTTGCTCTGGCTCAGAGGCTGCGGGGGAGGGAGAAAACAAAATGCCCCTTTTGCTAGTGAAGAGCAGTTTTCTCTTTGCGCACCACTTCCTTCTGCCCGGAATGTCACTTGTTGCTCCAGTTCACCTCTCCAGTGTTGGGGGCACTAGTGTTTGGGGCTAGATGCTGTTTGTAGCACGCATCCCCCGCTGATAAAGTTGTGTTGCTCTGGCTCAGAGGCTGCGGGGGAGGGAGAAAACAAAATGCCCCTTTTGTGAGGTTTGAAAATAATGTGAAACAACTAGGATTTGACTCCCTAATCTATCCTTCACAGTGCTAAACCGCTGTTGTGATGTTTGTCTGTTTAAACGAGCGTGGATAGCGGCGAATCTATCAGTTATTCAGCTCCATAAAATATCTTTCCTTTTGCAGTGGTTGAACTATGCACGACACACAGACTGGCACAGAGTGACTTGGCTAATGAGTTAGTTGCCTTCGCTACAACTAAAGAAGATGGGTCGCTTCTCACTGTAGAGTTCCTGAATGTCTTCGAACATGAAGTAAGGATGATATTTAGTAAAGAGCTAACAGAGGGTTGGAAGGAGGTGTAGTTGTTATGTATAAAAGGTCATCATTTTTAAGAACTTATTGCTAGCACATTGTAATTACCAAAGTGCAACACTCTGGTGTAGATGAGGCAAGGTGTACTTCATTATATTACCAGCAGGTCAGCTTGAAACCTAGCTGGGCATTTAACCTATCCTGTGTCTGCAGGCATAGCTGAAGTACAACTTGCCTTGTATATGGTGCAGTTTTAGAAATTATTGGCTAAAAATGCTAAAAATATTATCATAATAAGACAAATTTACTGAGAATGAAACTAATTCAACAAACCCCTTGCAGTAAATATCAGAGTAATTGAGTACTGTGTTTTGGATTCTTGTTGCTCTGAAGCTCTTTTTTTTTTTTTTTTTTTTTTGTATTATAGCACAGATGGGGAACCTTTTTTTGGGCCCAGGGCCACTGACTCTCAGAAAAATCAGATGAGAGTTGGTGTGTCTGGGGGGGTGAGAGGGTTCAAGAGTGAGTTGGGGGTTTGTGGGTCTGGGAGGGTGGTAGGTTTCAGGAGCAAAGTGAGGGTATGGGGCTTAGGCAGGAGGCTGGATGCTTACCTGATGCAGCTTCCCAGGGACACACATGGCTCTGTGTCCCCTGCTGCTCCCAGGCACTGCTCCCTGCTGCTTCTATTGGCCATGATGGGCGGGGGAGAGGGGATGAACCTCCAGGCAGCACTTTGGTGTGCTGCCATTTCCCCAGCCCTAGGGAGGGGGAGTGGCAGCACATTGAGCTGCTTCCTCCACCCCCCAGGCAGAGCCCAGGGGTAGGATCCATCTCTGGTTTGTCTGCCTCCAGCCTGCAAGACTTGGATCTCCATCCTCATTCCCTTTTCAGGCCCCACTATCGCTCCAGCTGCCTCCCCCTAGCCTGCACCTCCAATGTCTGCCTCCTCCCCTGCTGGCACATTTTTTGGACACCTCCTCTTTATAGCCTACCCCAAAGACTTGAAATCTTCTAGCTGCTCCCTCGGGCTGTAGTACCACCTCGAGGTCCCAGATGAGAATTGTAGTCCTATTGTATTGTTGTGTGTATGTATGAAAGTCACTGCTCTGTAAAAGCAAACATCTAAACAGACAATAGCCAAGAAGTGGGCAAAAAGGAAAACTTAATATTTTTGAGATACTCCATTATTTTTAAAGTGGGATAGGAAACCGCTTCATAGCTTGATAATGGATCTTTGGATATTATATTGGTCCCTGCCTATGCTATATTTTTAGCAGACTATAGACACCCGAGCACACTTTAAAATCCCAAATTGAATTTGAAATTTAATTTTTTTAATTAAATTTTTCAACAGATTTTGAGGGCATGAGCACAAAGCTGGGAATTTCCATGTTCTACTTGTAACTTTGATGCTTTTTCTCTCTGTAACCTAGAGGGACATTTCATCTGTCCAGGCCTAAGTTTCTCCCTCTGTAAAATGGTGAGAATGATTAATAGTTAGGGTTGGATTAATTGGTTTACATCTATGAAGACTTTTAAAGAGGTGAAGTTCTATATAATTAGGTATTGTGTACAGCTTTAAGTAGTCATGGATTTTCATTCCTCAGGTACTCAACAAAAAAGTTAATAAGGTTAATCAAAAAAAGGATAATAGATACTCTGGAATCAAGAATATCAACACCATTCAGGAACTGTATCCTTCTCTGCTATTTGTTTAATGTCAGGATTTCTAACTGAAAGTAAGTCCTTTTTAGCTTTTTCTTGTTTCGGTCTGTACTTTGCTGTTGTACATCATAGCTTACAATTAATTAATAACATGTAAACTATTGCTCAAGAGAGGAATGATGATTCAATGGTAAAGGTGCTAACCTGGAACTCTGGAGACTGATTACATTACCTGCTATGCTTCAGCTGTTCTTTGTTTCCTTAGGCAAGTCACTTAGGGCTCATCTAGACTACGTGGAAGATTCGAAAAAGGATATGCAAATTCAGTGGGAATTTGCATATCTTCCAATCTCACTTTTGAAAACGGAGCTTTATGCAGTTTTTCAAAGAAAAAGGAGGGGGGGAGGTCGCCAAAAAAACCACGTCTTGATTACTTTCACTTTCGAAAACTCCGCTTTTGAAAGTGAGATCGAAAGAAGGCACTTTGGCATAGTCTAGATGAGCCCTTAGTTTCACTGTGCCTTATTTCTCTATCAATAAATTGAGGAAAATAGCACTACCCTACCTCATGGGGGGTATGTCACATTAAAGATTGTGAGAGTCTGTTTAAATTGATAACTGATAAGCATGAACTTATCAGGTACCCAGACGGTTACAGGTGGCTCCCGCCAGCGGCTGCCCCACACTGCTGCCTCTGTACCAGAACGTGGGGCAGCAGCTGGCTCCCTGAGAGCAGGGTGGCAGGCAGGAACCAGTACACGTGGGAAGATGGCTTAAAAGCTGGCTTTTGGTATACGTACTGGCTCTGTATGTAACTGCTGAAGCTTTCAGTGGTTGAACAGTTAGCCAATTGCATGTATTTTAATATCCTAAATGATGATGGGAACCATATAAGTACCTAAGACAGGTAGTCAAGTTTTTCTAGTAAGGGTTTTTTAATATTAACGTTTTCCTGATGTTGTAGAATAAGTTGTTACTGGTCTTTGAAAAACCTACTCTTTAGCACTAATTATACTTGGCTCCTCTGTGCTTGATGCTGTACAAAACAGAAAAATACCCCAAAGAGCCTACAGTGTTAATTTCAGATAACATACATTATATAGGGACAAAAACTACATAGACAACATCAGTTGGAAGTCTTCTGTGGTTGTTATGGCAGAACTAGATTTTTGAGAAGGTGTCTCCATGCATAAAAGAAGGATTGGAGAAAGCTATTAACTTTGTTTGGAAAATGCATTCCTTTAGTGTAATGTTTCTTATCAATACCTTAAGTTGCTCTCAGAATTCCACACTTCTCAGCAACTTCAGGCACCCTAGGATAGTTCCTATTGGAATCAATCAAGACTGAATTTTTAGTGCTTAGCAAAAATCTAGCAACCTCAGTTTTAGAAGGTCAATGGCCCTCTAAAAATATTTTTATCTTTATAATGTCTTTGTTTTTAAGCACTTCAACTGATTTTTTTGGGACAGATTCTCCATTGCACTAGTATAAATTGGGGATGTCAACATGTAATGGACTACGTGATTAACCAATAAGCCTGGGTTTATTGGTTAATCCTAACAACTACACACATTTCCCCCCCCCCCCCCCCCCACTGCCTCGGATATAGAAGCAGCAAAGGGGGGAGGCAGGAGCCGGTGCCTGTGTAGAGGTGGCTTTTAAGCTGGCTTCCCCTGAGCACTGGTTCCTGTGAAGGTGCCTTCCCTCTCCCTTTCTCACTATATCAGAGGCAGCAGTGTGGAGTGGCAGGGGGCTCCCTGGGAGTGGGGCTGGGAGCTCACTGGCTGACAGCCCCACCCCAGGGACTATCATATAATCGTGTAACTGCTAAACTTTTTCATGCTGTTACACGATTGTCTAACATCCCTAATGTAAATGGTTGCATGTGTGTTAGGGATGTTAAATAATGGTTAATTGAATAGTCGAGTAACCTCATGAATTGTTAACAGTTATTCCAGTGTTTCTCAACTTTTTTTATAAAGTACTCCTTTAAAAAAAAAAAAAAAAAAAAAAAAAAAAGAACCCCCAAAAAAAAGTACCCCCAGTACCTACAGTTTTCAGACCCACAACAATTTTTTTCTACTGTTGCAACACATTTGTTTAAACAACTTAATTGTAGCTGGGCGAGCAATGAAATTTTTGGGTGTAAGAAGTACAAAAATAATAAAGTGCTATAAAACTTAAAACAAAAAATCAGATTTCTCCACATTTCAGTTCTGTTGATCTACCCCCAGACTTCTCTTGCATACCCCTAAGGGTACTCGTATATTGGTTGAGAAACACAGGGTTATTCAACTATTCTATAGTCCCCTGGGGGTGGGGCAAGCAGCCAGTGCGCTCTGGCCCCTCTCCTGAGGAGCCCCCTGCCATTCCACGCTGCTGCCTTTTTATACAGTGAGGTGGGGAGAGGGAAGGCAGCTTCACAGGATCCAGTGCTCATGGGAAGCCAGCTTAAAAGCCATCTTCACACAGGCACCGGCTCCCCCCCCACCCCCAGGGGCAGATGACCGTTTTGCGGGGCCCCGGGCAGCATAACTCCGCGGGGCCCCCCCTTTGCCACGGCGCATGCGCGGGTCTTTTTTAAGAGCGGGGCCCGGGGCAGTTGCCCCCGTTCACCCTGCCCTATATCCGCCCCTGCGTCTTACAGAGGCAGCAAAGAGGGGAGAAATGCATGTAGTTAAGATTAACCAATAAGCTCAGGCTTATTGGTTAATCGTGTAGTCCACTACACATTGACATCCCTAATTTACACTAGTGCAATGGAGAATCTGTCCTTGTGGACTGGCTTCCTGTTGCCCCATGAAGCTGCCTCTGATAGAGGTGGCAGTGCAGGATGGCAGCAGCTCCTGTCCGAGATGGTGCGGGGGAGAGCTGTGCTCCTGGTGTGAGCTGGGCTGCCAATGCACTTTAAATGCAGAGCCGCACTGGGGCTTCCGGACCCGGTGCAAGACAGGACTGAGCTGGGCTGCTGGCCAGCCTCCTAAAAAATTTACTGGCAGGGGTGGGGGGAATTCATGTAGTTTATAGCATTAACTATAAGCTTTTGCTAATTGGTTACTTGACTATACTATTATATCCCTAATATGTGTAGGGCAAAATTCTTCCAAGACAGAACTGTAGAGGTTTGCAAATGACTGAATAAGGTGCAGGGCAGCAAATGATCAAGCCCTATATTTCTGTAGACACTCCTTTGTTCTCTTCCATGACTTGTGTGTGTTAGCATTGATGCAGATGAGGAAGAGGAGGATATCTTAGATGCCTACACAACACCGTCAAAAGTAAGTGTATTTTGTTCTGTATGTTTCTGTTCAATAAAGAAGGCCACTGGTCTTCAGTCTTCTCTGAGATGTTAGCAGCTAGATGGAATTTTAAGGCGTTGGGGCATACATGAAAATGTTATTGTTTGTTCGCTATTTCATTTGTCTTAACAAACAAAGATTTATTCTCCTAGCTGATGTGAGCATAGTTTTCTTTCTTTGCATGTGTATTGTAGGGCTCTCAGAAACGGAACGTAACAACACCAGAGACTCCACGGTCTAAAAGGACTTTATCCACCCGTAGCCCCTACTTGCTTTTCTCTCCAAACAGTTTCTCACCAAGGTATGGTACTACTGGTTTCCCAAATGAGTTGGCATTACTAGCAGCTCCCTGAATCTTCTTCACATTAACATTGAGTGGGGTTTAAATTGTGATTTAACTTCTAGATTCAAAGTCTCAAGATATTTTAAACAAGAAAGTGAATTTCCTCTTGTATAAGCCAGGAAATACCCTTTAGGAGTTACCTCCATGTATGGCATCATTATTAGATCAGAGTATCTAGTTCTGTTGTCCACATTCACCCAAGATTTTGAAAAATTGGGAAGGGTTTAAAAAAAGCCACAATAATTATTTAAGATCTGAAAAGCATGCCTTACTGTAAGAAAATTTAATTTCAGTCTCTTTATTTTATCTAAGACTCATGGTTACATTCCTCAAGTATGTACACGGGGAAGAGATTTTTGTATAGCATGGCACTCTTTAATTTAGCAGGACAAGACATAAGGAAATTTCCTTGCTGAAAATGGAAGTTAAACAAATTCAGGCTAGAAAACAGTGGAAATTTTCATCAGTGAAGTTACGGTAATTAATTATTGTAACAATTTAGCTGTGGATGTGGTGGATTCTCCATCACTTGAAATCCTTAAATCCAAACTAGATATTTTTTCTAACAGGTGTGCTGTAGCTCGAGCATAATGTGTGGATCTGATCCAAAAATTATTGGATGAAGTTCTCTAGCTGCTGCTATACAGGAGGTCCTATAAGATGATAATGATGGTACCTTTGAGCATTTAAAATCCATGAATCTTTCCATCTCTTGCCTTCACAACCCTACTGATGGTGAACACAGATTTTTAGTAACTATGCAGTGACATTTAGAAGCTTCATCTGAGATTGGAACCCTGTTGTGATAGGCACTCTACAAATACAGTGAGAGAATCTCTGCCCCCAAAGAGCTAATTAGACATTACAGATGGAGGCTCAGAGAAATAGGAGCAAAGTCCTGTCCCTGCTCACAGAGTAGCTAATCTGATGATACTCGAGTTTTAACCTCCTAAGTCAAGGAGCAGATCTGTCTGTTTTAACCAGCTGCCACATTCTGCTGCAGAGGTGGCTGCATTTCCAAGGCAGAACTGGTCTCTAACAAATCCATGTTACAGAAGGCTTAGTCTAACTCGTACTGGATTTGCTGCTTTTAAGGTCCGCTGTAACATCGTTATTTTGCACCATTCCTTTTCTTCCCTCCATGCAGTGCTACTCCCTCCCAGAAGTATGGCTCTCGGAGCAACCGAGGTGAGGTGGTAACTTCGTTCGGCTCTGTGCAGGGCACCTCCTGGAGTGGAAAAGGAGGCCACAGATCAAGTGTGAAGCTTTTTGGTCCACCAGAACAGTTGCTCACCAAGAGTTACAAATTCATGTTCCAAAAGTTTCGTGACATCCGGGAAGGTAGCTTAAAAAAACTTTTTTTTTGTTTGTTTGTTTGTAAAACCTCTAATGTCTCATGGTGTCTTATACTTTGGCTCTTAACATCTCTACTAACTAGGGAAGCCAAAAGCTTCTTCCCAATGAAAACTTTGTGTTCTGGTGAAGGTTGGGAAGGCTGCTGTGAGCCCATCCAGTCCCCTCCTGGCTACCTGTCAGTTTCTAATGCCAGTTAGAGGTCTGGGTCCTAATTTTCAAAGCAATTAATATAGCAACACCCGTCTGCCCCCACTACATCAAAGAGCAAATTTTGGTCTGCGAACCACTAGCAGCTGTTCTCCTCTGGGGCACAAAGCACAGGATGAAGGATCAGTAAGAGCTGGGGATAGTACATTTTTGGACCTGAAAGTCAGGTCAATAATTTAATGAGGTGAGCAGTTTGGGCTGCCCCTATAAATAGGAAAGCCCATACTGGTTCAGGCCAAAAAGAGCAGATATTGGACAATAGTGGGCAGTGCTAGATGCTTTTTATGGAAGCTGCAAGAAGCTTGAGGTGGCCAGTTTATGGAATAATCAGCCTAGAGGGGAAGAGTGGAAGTTGGCACAAGCTTTGAAGCAAGCTGGGTTATTTCCTTCACCCCTCCCCCAAACCCACTCTGCTTCAATCTTCTTTAATAGAACTGTGGATAATCTTACTGATATAAATGCTGAATCTTATTAAATTCTTGGTACTGTACCATCTTATAGCTGTACATTCCACTGCATTTTTATGTGTATGTTGGCAGCAAAGGAAGATTTTTTTTTTTCCTTCTCAGTTTTAAATTGGCTTCCTTCCAATTTCATTGACTGCCCCGTTGCTTTTGTCTGTCATGAAAGAGGAGCACCCCCATGAACATTTTCTATATTGTTCAACATGTTCATATGGAATGATCCGGGTACTTCATACTATTCAAAGATAGTTACAGTAAGCAATGAAGTTTGCCTTTCCTGATCTCAGGAAGTAGCTCTCCATTCATATAGAGGTTACCTTGCTGCTTAGGCACAGTACTTTCTTCTGCTTAAGAGATGGTACCAGACATTGGTGATTGCTTGTGTATATGGTAATAGAGGCGTTAACAAAATTACACAAGACAGTAGAAGAAGGTCTGAGCCTGGGATGTGGGAGACTTGGTTCTGTTCCCTTCTCTGCCATGAACTTCTTGTGTGCTACTAGGTAGGGGATGTGAAAGTGTAACTGTTTACACGGTTAACCGATGAGCCTGGGCACATTGGTTAACCTTCATGGTTACACGCACGCTCCTAGTGTGTGTGGGGAGCCAGCTTAAAAGCCAGGTCCCTGAGTGTACCAGCTTCCAGGGAGCCGCCGCTCCCCTAGTGTAACCCAGGGTGGCAAACCTGTGGCCCAGGGGTCAGATGTGGCCTCTGGCTTCCCTGGATCTGGCCCCTGAGACTCAGGGCTCCCCCCTCCAGCATTGGGGAGCCTGTGCTGGTGCTTTGGCCACCCTGCCATCTTGCTGTGGGGCTGGAACACGTAAAAACTAGTAGCCTTCTCCCTCTCTTCTCCCCCCCCCCCCCCGCACC